GCAGCCCAGMAAAGGCTCTGAGGGTAAAGAGGATGCTGCTTGAGCCAGCAGTGTACTTGTTCAGCAAGAAGGGGAGACTTCAAGAGAAGGGGAGACTTCAAGGGGATTGAACAGAATCCTCCAATATTTCTAAGATGATCATCAAAAGACAGAGCCAGGCATAAGCTGAAACAAGAGAGGCTTTGTCCCTGGCCTAACAGGAGGACGGTCAGACTTGGGAACAGGTTATCCTGAGAGCTGGTGTGGTCTCCATCCTTAGATRTTTCCAAGACCAGACTGCATTAATTCTGAGCAATGTCATCTGGCCTCAGAATGCTCTGTGCAGGAGGCTGGCCAGGAGCTCTCCCAAGGTCCCTTCTAACCTGAACTGTCACATGAAAACCCACTCTGACGCAGGAACAACTCTGTCAGCCAGCACAAGAGACTGTCTTAATCACACTCAACACACCTCTGAAAGGGATGATGACCTGGAGGTCAGACTAACAGTAGTCCCCTAAAACTTTCTTAATCCAGTGGTACTGCACAACTCAGCCAGTGATTCAATAGTGTTGGCAGCCAGTTTACACTTGTGCTCCTGCTAGTGACAGCAGGCTAAGGAACTGCAGAAATGTGCTGCTGTTGACAGGCTGGGCTGTGGGGAAGCATAAATTAAACTGAAAGTAAAAATTGAAGATTACTGAATCGTGAATATACTTCAGAAGAATTCCTCATTTTGTCCAGGGCCCAAGCAACAAAGGTGCAGATCATCTCTAAATTATAAACTCGTTTTTTTGTTTTTTTTGTTTTTTTTTTTTGAAAGTGCATGAATGGAGTCATTTTAATATAATGTGGAAATAATGCCTTCAAGCACAGAGACATGATTCATTCCTCCTGAAATAAGTGGTTTTGCAATYATAGCCCGCAGTGGAGACTTCTCTAAAGAATCTAAGGAAAAACCAAAAATTAAGCATGCTTTTGCTAGACATGGTCTTATCACAGCTTCAATACCAGGATCAGATCTGGACTGCAAGCAGTATTTCAYTCAGTCTTGTCGGTTCATTGCTACCTTTTTTAATACTTTGGTACAACATCTCTTCACTGTTTGTAAGGGATACCACATTGTTAGCACTGTCACATTACCAAAAGCAAAAAAGWTAAAAGTCTTTTAAATATTGAGAATAACTTTTAAAAAATATTATTAATAATTTTCTTTTCAGCACAATTTAATTGGTTACCATAGCTGGAATGAAGTACAGTGCAATGCCACAAATTTCAGACAAGGCCTTTCCACCCCAGGAAAAGTTCAGTTGCATTCTACTTTAATGGCTTCTGGCAAGCTTGCACTATTGTTTTTGTACAAACAGAAGTAAGTTTGATACAAATAAAAAATGGAACTTTATGTGAATGAAGCAAACATCAAATTCCTTAATCTTCAAAAGAAACTGTATCCCTGAAAAATTAACTATGATATATTTATAAAACTAGAATAATTGAAAACAGAATTCTAAGTTGATTCATGTGGACTTCACTGAAATATTTATTATTGCAAGTCCAGAAGATCTGTCTGGGTTTTGTCACTGGAAATGTCTAAACTCAGTGTCCAGATGTTTATTTAAGTTGCTCCCACATAGTTCTAATGTCAATTACCAGGGGTTATCAGAGAGCATCACTGTGTATCTTCTTTGACTAATATTCTCATTTCTTCTGCATCTTTGATGTTTTCTTTCATTAAAATTCCTGGCTCACAGCCACAAAAATCTGCCGTACAGGCAAAAAAAAACTGGTCTGCAGACATGACACATGATGATGCCCAATGTCTGTGCAAGGATTATATTTATCATCAGCTATCATTTAAGCAGTACTATAATCAATACAATGCCAACTTAGAGCAGTCCTGAGAAATGCATGTAAGAATTTCTAATTAATATTCAATAACCCGGGTCAGTAAAGAAAATATTATAACATACAACAAAAGTTTTGTGAATCTGTGTGGCTTGAGTTTTTTTTCCCCCCATAAGAAACAAGCAGGTGGAAAGCCAATGACAAAGTAATTTCACACACAATTACAAATGGAATTGATGGATCTGTAACTCTGGAAACCAGAATTACATCAAGACTTTTAAAGTAACCAAGAGACAACACAGACCACTCATAACAGTGACTTCAACAGAAAGAGCTTATTACACAGTCTCTGAAGGTTTCATACATTCAAATACAAATAATAGCCAGATAACCCAGCTCATTTTTATATGTATATTATCTGTTACCCAAAATCAGGGGCCTCATTTTGTTGTAGGCCAATGCTGGAGGATTCACTTTTAAAGGTCTGTACAAAAACAAAAGAAAATCAATGTTAATTCAATATAAGTGGAAGCAGAGCTGTAAGATGGCTGAAGAAAAGAGTGTCAAAGCCATTTCATAGTTTCAAGTTAGTAGCTAGGTACTAACATGAGGTTCCCTYCTTGGTAAGGAATTTTAGTTCTCATTCATCAGTATGACAGGTACCACCTAAAGATCATGTCACTGCACCTTCAGATTCAGTTGTGATTCTGCAGTACCAGTTTGGTCACCTTATTAGTGCCCAGTGCAGCACAGGTTGAGCAGTGCAGATGACAGCTTCAATTCAGAGATGGGTGCAGGAGATCTCTGTGCTGTTACAGCCAGAGCTGCAGTATTCTCACCACTGTCGGATTAGTCTCTGATTAAATTTAAATTATGTTACTGCCATCAAGTAACAATTGAAAAAAAAAAATCAGGAAAAAATAAAAAAAAAGTCCAAAAATTTTACAACAGAAATTTCTATTCACAAGTGTACAAAGAATATCTCCTATCAAGTGCTCAGCAAACCTTAGACTGCAACCACTTGCTTATTATATCACCGTCTTGATCTAATAAGCAAGTACATTAATACCAGCTGTGTGGAGAGAGGGAGGAAATAAGAATTTGTTCATTAAGCATTATGGCTCCACTTATATCCCTCACTATTTCAGTGGAGATCTGCCAATTCATACATGACACAATTATGATCCCCAATATCGAGCCTGAGAGAAAAGCAAGGAGGGTGTCAATAAAAATTCTTACAAATTTTCCTGTCAGGAAGTCTCTCTTATACTTTACTGCTGGAGAACACATCCACTCATATTTAGGTGATTAGAAGTGAAATGCTTAGTTCAATGTTTCTAGGAGGTTGAAAATCAATTTGGTTCCCATACACATTTCACTGTGCTCATTTGTGTCTCCTCACATCCAGCAACTGATTCTCAACTGCTACTCACAAATTCCCTTGCACACTTAAGAGATTAAACAAAACACAGAGCCACTATCAGAGTTTAACAGAGCAGTCACATATAAATGTTCCTAGAGGAATTAAGCTTTGACTTCAATTCAGTATTGCAGTGAAGCTTTCATGCTTCATCAAATCAAGGGGCAATTTAGTAAAAGTTAATAACCAAATGATCAGAACAGTTGCTTTAAACAAGAGAAGACTAAATGCCTCTAAAGCTTTGCATGCATAGTAATAATTACAGTATGGATTTGCAAAGGAGTCAAATACAGCTGAGCATCCATATCCCATGAAAAGCCAATGTGATTGTAAAGTGTTCAGGCTACAGTCAGCTAACATTTGCCCATCATAGTGGCAGCAGTGACATAGCACTGCAGAGAATGAGAATAAAACACAGTCATTAGCTGACTGGAAGAAAAAAATACCACAACAAAATAAATGTTTTCACACAGCTGTGTTTTCTACTTCCCTTTCCCTCCAGAACGTGGGATTTCACAACCTAAACCCAAACATTAGGAAATGAGGAAATCTCAATGGTGATCTCCACACATACCAATCTAAAACCCGTGAATTGGCAAAAAAACCTGTGAACCACAAACTATGGGAAAGTACAGGTCAGTTAGCACCTCCCTAGAGCAAGGCCACACCATGTAAGACCCGCACCCTGAAAAATGTGTCCTTACAAAATACTTTGGAGTAATTATGCTTCTTTCTTATTATACTGGTCTGAAAAAGAAGCAGGGCTGGGAAAGCTGAGAAAAGCCACCTCTTCCTACAGCAGAACCCACAGGGTAGGGCACAGCTTTTTCCCACAGAGGACTCTCAGCTCGTCCTCTTTATGCCATTCATTTTCATTTGTGATAAAAGGCCAATTGCAATTACCCTGGCCCAGGTACACTCCTTGCAGGCACTAACTTGCTTTAGGCAGAGGAGGAGCCAGACACCACCCAAACCATGCAAGAAATGTTCTGAACTGGCAGTCAGATGTCTGTCCTACAGRTAATTTTCATGGGCAAAACCCAGCAAGACACACTGCTGAGATTCCAGCCTCATGGATGCAGGGAGCTRGCTCTGCATTGGAGCTGCACAAAGAAACAGCAGCCACATTCACATCTACAATTCAGACTGCTCAGGTCCGACCTCCGGGAGGCTGCTAAAGGCTGCCAGCTTGTGGTGTGTCTGTAAGTTCCACACAGAAACCCCCAAACACTGCCTGGGGCTGCTCTCATGACCAGCTTTTGCCATGGCTTTTGATTCATCAGTTGGTAGTGTCTGCGATTGTTTTCCCTGACTCCTGACACTGTGTCCCTGTAGCAGATCCAGAAATTCCACAGAACAGTAACAGAGTTTCCAAGTACTCTCAATTTGCCAGTCCCATTTCCTCTATACAGAAACTCACAGCTCTCCATCACTTTTTTTCATCATGTGGCCCTTAGTAGTCCACAAAACATCAGACAGAAAACTACGTAACTCTAAAAAACAAGAAAAGCTTCTGTGTCTTTTCTACCTTTAGCTATTCTTAAAGTCTGCCAAAAATAATTAAGGTACAACAGCATTTAGGTTTTTCTTCTTTCAAATCTTTTTTCCTAAATACTTAGCATAAATTTTTAGCTGGCTAAATCCTCTAGATGATGTTATCACCCTAGCTGGCAAACCAGATTGCATGTTCTCTCCCTCAGGAAAGGTTAAAGCTGCAAACAGCAGTCCTGTTACAGGGCTTTTCTTCTGTGCASTTTGGGAATCAGGTACTCCCAGCAATGCAGAAGTCAAGGGACTACAGCTGGTGCTGCCCAGATCCCTGCCTCATGTGCTATAGCTCTCTGACTCACAGGACACGTTTAAGGTTTGTACCATCTCTCAGACCTGCCAGATTAGCCAGCTTTAGGTCACAGAGGCCTTTTCTCATCAATTTGCACTCCTCATTTCCTTTCCCGATATAGGCATTGTTTCCTAGCTCCCTCTCCATGTTTTCCTTGTGAAGTACTGAAGCAAGAGTTCCAATTTTCCTCTAGACTTTACATGGTCTAAACAAAACCTTATTCACATGAACAACTTCAAAAATATATTATCCACGTTTATTTTTACTGTATTAACAGCCCATTCCAATACAACAGTCCATTCTCAAGAGAAAGAACAAGCTCCTCAACTCTCAATATACATTCTGACATGATCTGGAACTGGGGAACAGTGAAATACACAACAGCAATACCATACTCAATCAGAAACTTTTTTTAGCATGACTAAACCATTTAAAGATTCATCTTTTTATTATCCAACAAATCATTTCATGATCCTCTTGTACTCCAACCTTCCACAAACTTCTAGATTGCACATCYTCCTTAATGTTGGACTCTTTAAACCTGACTTTGCTTTCTTATTGTTCACAGAATCATAATTCAAAGTGCATACCTGTCCTCAGAAGCAACAAGGTTTTGCAAACTTTTAAATAATAACTTAAAATTCATACCTTTAGCTTGGCTTTGTAGTCACACAGGACTCTTCTCCACAAGAACACCCCAAAAGTGCACAGAATAGCTGCTAATTGTTTAACAAATACTTAAGCACTTCACCTGTTACCACAGTGATTTCCTCCCCACCCCCCACAAAGGTGAAGTTTGCCCATTCAGGGATTATTTTGGCAAAGGCCCAGCATGTTGAATGCTATCAAAATAAAGACCAAGAAAATTGCCTCTGCTATACAAAGTTTAGAGAACAAAAATATGTGTTAATAGCACAAGCAAAGAGTTGTTTTAGTAAGTGTGGCCAGCAGAAGCCTATGCAGATAAATTTCAGTACTCTAGAAACAAGTCCCTGTGTAGCTTTGTGTGAATTCCTTTAGCCCAGAAAACCAGCATGGAGAAAAAACACACAACATCTTACAGAGATGTGACAGCACAGTCTGTGCAGGATAAGGGTGATGATCCTAACAAGGGGGAAAGATGCAAATAGCCTGGAAACCATAATTTATGTTTCATGGAACAGCAAAGAGAAAGGCAATACAGTGCTGAAGCTGCTTGTCCCTGAGCAGTACAAACTGCCGTAATAGGAGGGCTGATGACAAGATGCAGCTGGACAAGCAGGTGTGAGCATGGAAAGCATTGATCTGAGAGATGAGCTGCATCCACAAGAGATCACTCCTCTAGCCTGTGAGTCAGAGCCACACACTGAACAGAAATAGATACAGCTGAGAYCAACTGGGTCATTAACATGGATGCTGAGGGATGAATGTGAATGGCTGAAAACAAGCCAAAGAACTATGGTGACAAAGGCAAGTGATGGTGAGAAGCTGGAAGGATGAAGAAGTAACATAGAAAAGAAAGGAGGGAAAAAAACCCCAAGCATGAAAAGATGGTAGAATGGTGAGAAGGCCTGGAGATTACAAACACCTGCAGACTCTGAAACCAAAACAGRAAAGCCTCAAGAGCGCAGTCCTGGCAAAAATACAAAGACATTGTGGACTCTGAGAGATATTAAAGGGACTGAGGCACGTAGGAGGTGCTAGGTGCATAGCTAGTATTCAGATGGAGTTCCAGAAAGCAAGATAAGGTAGCAGTGGCAGGAGGAAGCATGACATGTGGCAGGAGTTAGACACACACAGCAGTATGTCATAGGAAAGGGAATGGGTGGTGCAGGGGTATGSAGTATGGATTTGGTTTAGTGACAGCAGGTAAGCCTATTAAGAAAAAGAGAAAAGCAGCTGATGAGAAGCCAATGAATAATGAGAACAAGAAAGCTGCAAGAGGAAAGGGTACAAGAAAAAAGATCAGATGACCTAGTGAAAAAATATCAGTTAGCTTAGCAGCAGTTTCATCTGTCAAAATGCACTGCCAGGGTGTGGACTGTGCCACAGGAACTRCCCCGGAGAGCTTGTGGAACAATTGGGAGAGAGTTACTGCCTGCTAGGAAAGTGCTGCATGCACTCAAGATGTGGCAGAGACCTTCCTGCCCCATTTTCATCCTGTGCAGCTTTTTAAATGACTTGCAGCTGAAGCAGCCTTGGTTTCCAAAGACATCATTCCTYAAGGAACATATATACATCCAGGAATACCCCTAAACCCACAGCTGTGGTAACATCTTGGAAAACAGGTGTTGCCAGGCCATACAAGGGATCTCTGAGGTTTATTTTCAAGAACTGAACTCAAACTAGGCTTKGAAAATCCTAGTCCACAGTGAAATACAGCTGTGAGATACTTGTCAGGTGTGTYCCTTATCTTTCAAAATTCTTATTTTTCTTCATGTTCTTGTAAGAAAGGTTATTTGTTGTTTACCAAAACTTAAAAATACACAGAACACTTTCTCCTAGAAAACCAGAGGGTGGATATCTTACTTTGCAGTATTGGACTATGAAAAAATACTATTCCAAAGTATGAAAGCAGTGTACAAAAATAAGGAAAACCATAAAAATCTTTAATAAAAATAGTAAAGTCTTCAGATTAACTTGATTTCTTGAGGTGCTTTGATATAATAACCAAAAATCAAGCAGCAGTCCCTTAAAGCCCAAATGGAATTCAAGTTACAAAATAAATTCTTACCTATTTACAACATGAGGGCAGCAGTGTTATTTTAAGGTGCAGGCACAGAAACAAGCTGTGTCAGGAAGCTACCTTATAGCCTAAAGATCAGGTATTTATTGTAGCTCTCTGGGCAGGWGTTTTCATCACATGGTAAAAGCAAGGTAATATTAAATAGGTAAAAGAAGTATCTCACATTTATACAAGACAAGAGCTTTTACATGTGAACAGTTCCCAGGCACCTTAGCTTACTTTAYGGACATGTTTTGTGCCAAAGCCCTTTGCAGTCACATTTCTGCACAGAAGAAGCCTTCTCTTGTAGCTGACCCATCAGAGCCTGCAAAAGTGTTCAGAGTTCTTGTTGCTAAAGCTGAGAACTATAAAGTCCACAAGGAGTAACTGCCCCAAGTTCTCTAAGAAGTGGCCACATAAGACTGATAAATACACATGATATATATGTATATATATTTATGATGTCTATGCTGAAYCGTTCCTGGAGATGTCATATGAAAATTTTAAGAGAAAACTGACTAGATTAAGCATTCTCAATATTCAGGTCTGGGGTTTAAGAACTACTGCATAAAGATCAGTTACACAGCTCATCCTCAGACATCCTTTCTTGAATTCAGTCTTCTGCTGAAAAATAATCTTCATCTCTCACTTCTCTGTACTGCATTGAGGCATCCCCCTCTGGCTCAAACCTGAGCATTTTTATATTTAGTCTCTCAGCAAGCTTCTGTGCTGCCAGCTTGGCTTGCATTTCCTAGGTAAGAAAAAAATAAAAAGGACTCTAGTTAGAGAAAGTGTTCATTTGTCATTCTTATGAATAAACTAATATACTAAAATATAAACTTGGCATCATACTATCAGTAATTCCAAAGAGGGCTCAATTAAAAGTTTCAGTAACTAGCAAAGAAATTTCAGGCTTCTTTTCATACTTATACATAACTATGCTATTAATATTTGGTTCTTTTTAATAAGACTTGTTAATAAAAATTTTTAATAAATTCCCCACATGGCAGTCCCACCTGTGATACACTAATATCACAGRTTAATAGTTTCAACAGAACCCTTCTAGAATAGTGTCTAATAATTTAAACATTAGCTTGACACTACCTGGAAAGTCAAAATCCATTACAACAGATTTTGAAGAAACTCAGAAGTTGGATTCTTCAGGTGCAGCATAAATAAAGGCAAAGGTAGATATCTGCATATTTGACAAGCAACAAATACTCCTAGGCCTTTATGCATTCACAAAAACTCTTTAATAAAGAGTGAAGTGAGCAAAGTAAGTGCAATAAAGTCAGCATATCAACACACACAGATTTTGTTTAATGTGGAACTAACACTTCCAGAGGACATTAATTATTTACACATTCCTTAATTATACCATTAAAAGAAATAAAGACAAAGTGCCTTTCCTCAAAATCTGCCCATCTCAATTCCYCATCATGAAAAGATCCCTTTATTGGTTTTTTTTTAGGAGTGATCCTGATTATATAATTTTCAGACCGAATTGTAAATTCATACCTCATAAGCTTCTTTCTGCTGTATCTGAATTGCTATGGATTCCTCTATGGGTAACAGCTTAGCAGGGGAGTGGTGAAGTGGTGGCAGCCGAGCTGCTGTGATGTCATCCAAATGTTTCTTATCTCTGAGTCGTCTTTCTTCTGGAGGAATTGGAGAGCCAAGTTCTCCGGGTGATCGACTGGATGAAGAACCATGAGATGATCCACTCTGCTCTCCTGATAGTCTGGAAGACATAAAACACCTAAGTTGTGACCAGTTTGCATCACAAGGTTGAACAACTCCAGTTCCAAAACTTTTAACACGTAAGAGTTCAAAATAAATCTTAAGTACTATGAAAACAGAGACAAATAAAAARTAAGCAGCACTCAGAAAAAACAGAACTATTTCCCTGCAGAGAGATAGTATCACAAGCTCCTCCTGAGAGTGAACCAAACTGCTTTGCTCGTTTATTAGCAAACTGAAGTAGCAACGCTTTGGGAGTCACAYGAGGTACAAACTGCTATTTCTACCAGAACAGACAGTGTGAACTGTAATTGCCTTGTAAGTGTAGGAAAAGCAAAAAGCTTTGAGCTAATAAAGKTATACATGTTCTAGAATTGATCCAAAAGTTTTGTCAATTGTTTAGCAGTTTTGTACCTTAAGCTATGAAATCCTATGAAGATTCATGACAATCATTTTAACTGGGTAGAATTAGACCACTGCTCAGTACTGAAATTCTGTGGCATTTACAGTTGAAGTGCAACGTATTAACCTTGTATGTCATGAGACTAAATCTCTTTAACCATTACTAGAAAATAAAGCCATAATGCTAGTTATGTACAATTTCCAATTTTATGCACATCAGGATCTCATAAAAAGCTTTTCTATTCTATAATACTTACGCATTTGTTTTAAATTTGGGTTTTTTAATSACTGGATTCTTGGCTCTGGCCTCTAGAACTTCAATGTAATGTGGTGTCTTGGGATGCTGGCTTCCAAATGCATTGCCCTTCTGTTTTGCCACATTCTGCTCTTTTTCCAGTATTTTTYCACTATTATCCCTATCTGCAATTGTAACTCTTCGAAAGGCATCAATCAAGGCATCTCTACTACTGCCCAAAGCTGCTGTACTTTCTGTACCATCCTCAGTATTGCCCTGAGAGACTTGCTGATCATTGTTCAAATGATTGCTTGTGGCCAACTTGGAGACAACTTCACAAAAACTATTCTGATCCTTTGTAACAGTCTTTACTTTTTCGTTTTTCCTCTGAGTCCTTTGATTTTCCAAAGCTGTATTTGTGRCATCTTCCGCAATAAATTCTGCTTCCTTCCTTTCAGCAGAAATGTCAGAAATGTCTTTAACACTAGAGTTTACATTAAAGACTGAGGAATTTGCACAGTTYTCTGTGTCCTCATTTAGGACAATTTGCTGTTTGCTTGTATTWATCTCCTCCTGTTTTGCTCGAAACTCCAACCTGACAGCAGATAACAGCTCAGCTGTCCTGGCTAATTCTTCCTCTTGTAAAATGGCAAKCTTCAGCTTTTCAGCAAAATCAGAGATCTTCTTACCCTTATCTGGAAGCCTACCAATGAACTTCCTAAAACAAACAAACAAACAAAAATTATTACAAACGATCCTATTTCAATCAGAGATACAGAGGTGCGTTATTAGAGTAGCTGATGAGATGGGTTTCACATTGTAACATCAGCTTATTTACATACTAAACTTCAGAAAGATGCAAAGCACTTGTAGCACAGCAGTAACCATTCGTTGTCAGTGAAACATGACATTAAATGGTTTGGGTGGGAAGGGAGCTTAGAGATCATCTCATTTCACCCTRTGCCATGGGCAGGGACACTGKCCACCAGACCAGGTTGCTCAAAGCCCCATCCGACCTGGCTTTGAGCACTTCCAGGGATGGGCCAGCCAAAGCTTCTGTTCCAGTGCCTCACCACCGTCATAGGTAGTAATTTCTTCCTTCTGTATCTAATCTAAATCTACTGTTTTTCAATTTGAGCCCATTCTCTCCTTCTCCATCACTACATGTTCTTGTAAATAGTTTTGCCCCATCTTTTCTGTAAGTTGCCCTCAGGTTCTGAAGGCCGCAATTAGGTCACCCCAAAATCTTCTCTTTTCCAGGCTGAAAAATCCCAATTTTCTCAGCCTTTCCTCACAGGGCAGGTCTTTATCCCTGTGGCCGCAGGCTGCRAAACCACACGGACAAGCACAACCTGAGCGCTGCCCCGTATTCCAGCCGCTGGAGCCCCGGGGGTACCCGCGGCCTCGCCAGCCCTCGCAGGAGCGGAACACGAGCGAGCGGTTCGTCCTCTGCCGCCTGCGCGGAGACGGGCGAAGCCGGAGGGAAGCCCTCACCGGTCAGCCAGCAGCCGCTGCTGCCGCCTCAGCATCTCGCGGAGCTCGGGCAGCGCCCGCCCGCGCAGCCCCGCAGCCTCCGCCATGGGCACCCGGCAGCGCCGCGCCAGCCGCCATCTTGCCGGAAGCGACGGCGCGGCAGCAGGGCCCAGCTTGCTCGGACCGCGAACGCCGGCACGGCCCCCCCCCCAGCCCTGCCCGCCGCGCGGCGGCGGCAGAGCCCTGAGGGAACGAGCGAAGGACTCGCCCGAAGCAGGCGGAGAGTTGCCTCAACAGCTGGGAACGCTGTGGTTTGTGTTTTCCGCTGCAATGCTTTTCGCTTGCGCGCACAGCGTCCTCCGGCAGCGTCCTTCTTCGCCGCCAGCCRCCCCAGCTTCTGTTGCCGGCACCGTGTTCCGCACGAAAGCGGAGCGCTCCTCACAGCACAGCGGAGAGCGAGAGTACGCGTTGCTCGCAAAAGGAAGCAGGAAGCTGCAGAGAAGGAGCTGATGCACGAAATACCTTCTATTTGGAAGATTTCTTTTGCGGGAGTGCTAGCTTCTGGCAGCTTGCCAGCCTAAATGAAGACAGGGGAGTGCCATAAAACCGTTTTCTGTCGCGATTTCTCTTTCTGTGTGAGATCTAAGTTCTGGCATTTTCTAGTCTCAAGGAACGGAAAGAGGGTGCTAGCTTAGAAACAACTTCTAATCGGATGATTCCTTGTGTTATAAACAGATATTATAGTGTTGGCTTTCGCAGATATTAAGATGAATGCTATGTGTGTGTTAAACACATATTGTAGTGTTAGTTCTCGCAGAGATTAAAGATAGATCCTGTGTGTTGTGCATCATAATATAATATTGTTTTATTTGTAGAAGAAGTTTAGTTATGCATAGTTGTGAAAATTATCACTGATTTTCTTTTGTAACTCAGATATAGTTATAGAATATTTGTGGTTAAACTGAAATATTATGATTTGTGACATAAATATTTCCATAAAGGATATTTTTCATATTATAGCAAAACTATACAAATGCTGCAAAGAAAGTCACCAAAAAAAAAAAAAAAAAAAAAAAAAAAAAAAAAAAAAAAAAAAAAAAAAAAAAAAAAAAAAAAAAAAACCAAAACACCTGAATTGGGCCCTGGTGGCAATGGTCCTTAAAGATAAGAAGCAGTTCAGAACTGAAAAAAAGAATGCATACATTCACAAAGAGATCACGATGTTTAACACCTTCCAGGTGGGGAGGCCATCGCCCCAAGATTATCAGCTGCCAGGCCAGCACAGACCCTTGCAGCGAAAGGGTGGGAATAGAAGAAACAGAAGCTTCAAAATGTGTAGTGAAATGTCTCTAGCCAAGAAAACTCATAGAACGTCCAAAGGAACCTGGCTGATGGGACTCCCAGAACCCTTCAGACAACCATATCTGCAATGGATAGGCCAGGGATGTCGTGACCCATCAGGGGCCCCTGCTATGGACACTTCCCTATCGACAATGACCATCTGCTGAAACTGTGGAACAGAAGTCGCACTCACACGACCCCAGGAGCATAAACATCATCACTGATCATGCTCTAAAAAAGCATATCCATGTTAAACAGTTCCTGAAAAAGTTTAAATATGCATAAATGCCTATAAATAAGCATTAAGCTGACGCAATATGAAATGTATTTAAAGATGTCTCCTGTCAATAGCAGGCGTGCCTCTAGCAAATCGCCAAGCACCTGACATCATATCCTTTTGCTTTTATGTGCCCTATTGTAATTTATTAAAACCCTTTAAATTTTAACAAAAAAATGAATCTCGTTTTTCACACTTGTGTGGGAAAGCTAATCCCTCAAGCTCTGCCAAGTCTTCGGGCGGGAAGAGCAGGGTGGACATTTGTAAGTCGTTCAGCTCAGAAGCATCCTTTCTTGGGAGTTGTCTCCTCTAGTGTTTTGCCAGGCTAGAGGCAGGGAAAAAAGGGGGTACCTCAGCCTCCTTCTTTCAGAATGGGAGTTTCTGTGGGAACTCTAAATGCTCGCAAACATTAAGCCTGAGGGCCTTGGCAAGTGCTTCTTTGTTTCGCCATGTTGTGCAGAACATTCTAAAGGGGTGCGAGATACTCGTTGATACAGCATGACCATTCTCCTCTGGCTTGGCTTGGCAACGAGTTTTCAGCTGGACCGCTGCAATGCTTTACACCTGGCGCACAAAGTGTCCTCCAGCAGCGTCTTTCTTCGCCGCCAGCCGCACCATCTTCTGTTGCCGGCACCGTGTTCCGCACGAAAGCGGAGCGCTCCTCGCAGCACGGCAGAGAGCGAGAGTACGCGTTGCTCGCAAAAGGAAGCAGG